GGGGGCAGGGGTGTGGAGAGGGATTGGGGCAGTCAGGGGACAGGGAGGGTTAGATGGGTTGGAAGTTCGGGGGGACGGGGCAGTCAGGGAACAGGCAGCGGTTGGATAGGCGTGGGAGTCTCGGGGATCTGGCGGGGGCAGGGGTGTGGATAGGAGTCAGAACAGTCAGGGGACAGGTAGGGTGGGGGGGTCTCAGGAGGGGGCAGTTGGGGACAAAGATAAGGGAGGCTTAGATAAGGGGTGGGGTCCCGGGGGGTGATTAGGGGCAGGGGTCCCGGGAAGGGGCAATCAGGGGACAAGGAGCAGGGAGGGTTGGATGGGTTGGGGGTTCTGTGGGGGGCAGTCAGGGGCGCGGGAATTGGGAGGGAGTGGCTAGGGGGCGGGGCTACACCCCACCCCCGGAGTGTCCTCTTTTTTGAAAGTTCAAATATGGTAACCCTATTCATGGGTATAGCCCTGCGCCAATCCTCCACCTAGCAGCCTATTAGCAATAGCCTATCTGAGACCCATAAAGCCCAGCCCCAGTGTGAGTGCCCATCCTGAGGTGCAATTGGCAGAGTCTCAAAGCAGCTGATTAGCCAGCATCAGGAACAGGAAGCTGTCTGAACAATTAGGTTTCACCCTGCTCTGGGCTGTGTGGCTTGTACTACCCACTCCCCGGCTCAATTTCCTGGCATTCCAACCCAACTTGACCTGTGGTTGCTGACCTTCAGTTTGTCTCCTACCTCTGACCCGCTGGTAGCCTGTCCCAACCTAGACTTTGGTTCCTAACTTGGGGTTCTGATCTCCAGTTTGTCTCCTGCTTCTGACCTCCTGGTATCCCAACCCAGGAGTCCTGTCTCGTGACTGCAGATTCTGGCTCCAACTAGTAGGTCTGGTCACACATGACCTGGACATGACAGAAGGCATGAAAGGGACTGCAGGAAGACAAAGCATGGTTTCATGGTTAAGGCAGTTGAATACTGCTTTGGAGAACTGGATTTTATCCCTGCCTCTGTCACAGGGTTCCTATGTGATACAAGGGAAATCACTTGCATCAAACTTTTCATACACAGTCACAAATTGGGTGTCCCTCATTTTCAAGCTGCCTGACTTGATACCCTAAGGTCTGATTTTCAGAAATGTTGAGTAATCACAGCTGCAATTGAAGTCAATGGGAGCTGTGGTTTGAACATAGAAAGTGCTATATAGTGCTAAATACTCTGAAAAATCAGTCTCAAATTTGCCAAAATTAGTGGACACTTTTGACCTTAGCCTCTCTGCCCCTCTATTCTCCATCTGTAAAATGGGGATAATGAAACCAGCTCATCTCACAGAGGTATTGTGAAAATAAATTCATTAGTGTTTGTGAAGTGCTCAGATACTATACTGATGAGTGCCATAGAAAAACCCAGAAGAAAAGTGTGATGGGGCATCTGCCCTGCACAGGCCCTGATAGGGTTAAAACCCAGCCTGGATTTACTGCAAGAAAACAGCCAATTAGGGCAGTGGCTGCAGCCAATTAGGGCAGCTGCTGGACCAACCAATCAGGGCCCAGCTGGCCCATATAAAAGGAAGCTGCAGCTCAGACCAAGGGAGTCTACTGCTGGAAGCTGGAAGCTGGAAGCTGGGTGGGGGTGGGCGGGCAGGCAGGCAGGGCACCTTCCTTCCTAGCTAGAGGGCTGCAGAGACTAGCTTTGTGAATAGGGCTTGCAGGCCTGAGGCCCTGGGAAGAGGGTGCAGGGAAGTGGCCCAGGGAATTGAGACAGACTGGTGGAGAAAGAAAGGAGGGGTAGTGGAAAGCTGTTGTTTACAGCATCCCTGGGCTGGGACCCCCCACTGGCCACTGAAGAAGCAGCCAGGCTATTGATTGCCAAGCCGCTGTGAGAAGCGGCTAGACTGTTGCAAAAGAAGTCTTCACCCACCCACCCCCGTCCCCAGAAGGGGGGAACTTGGAGTGTGACATAGCCGGAGGGCTGTGCCACGAAGCAGAGGCAGTGAGACTGGAACTGTAGTGGGTCTGCAGGCAGAGATGAGAATGGGAGAGCCACCACCACCGGAGGGCACACCTGCTGACCAGAGCTAATTCCCGAAATGGCCAGCAGGAGGCACCAGTGTGGTGAGAGACCCCATGACAGAAAGCAATAATTGTCTTCAGAGCCTGGACCCAGACCCAGAGTCTGCAGTAAATAAAGCCGGAGCCACACAATTAACAAGGATAAACCAAGCTACTGAATAACTGGTTGGTTCATTCATGCACGAGTACTATCCATTCGGTGCTTAAGGAGGCAGAAGTCCTGTGATCATGTAATTATAGACTGTATCCTAATGTATATGGACAAAGGGACCAGACTAGGCTTGCACTGGCAACATTAATTCTGGTATTTCCTAATTTTTGAGTATTTGACTTAGCAACTTAATAATGTTCTTTGAAGATAGCTTGGAGTGGGCGGGTTGTAAGTAATATTGATTTTATTTTCTTCCTTTGCAGTTATTTTAAGGGCTTATCCTGCTTCCATTGAAGTCAATGGGAATTACCCCCCACCTACACGCACACACTTCCTGTAACTTCAGGACAAAGACAAAGCTGTAGGCTTTTGGGGGGAGGAAGGGGCTAAACTCAAATGAAAAACACACTCGGTTTATCTATCAAAGATACAAACGCCAGTGTACATTATGACTGTGTGCATTTATTTTTACAGCTGAGGCCTTGCCTACTCTGTGTGGACATTAAAGACCACTTTTGGCATGAGGAAGGGTTTGCCCTGGATTGAAATTTCCTGCTCTCCAAACTGCAGCTGGGCTGCTGCCCTCCTCCTAGTTGACTGTGTTTCAGTGGGGCTCTATAGGCATCGTTTGTGAAGCACTAGGGGGCTATAAAAGCATGAAATATGATTATTTGCTTCTTAACAGAATAATACAGACCCTTAAACTCCTGCTAAACCTCAGAGGTACTTGTCTGCCTAAGTTATAGTCTGACTTACCTCTCCAAATGAGCTGCTGGGCACAAGGCACAGAGGCCGTTGTTGTACAGAAGTGTAAGGGTGCGTGGCCGCTCAGTGAAAAGCAGTTAACGTTCGCTCCGTGGTTGCAAAGGATCGTGAGACACTCAACGTTTGCCACGTCACATGCCACGTGGATAGCAGCTTTCCCATTTGGCTTGTAGTTGATGGCCGCTTTGTGATTTAACAGTACCATGAGGCTCTCCAGATATCCATACAGGGCTGATATGTGCAGTCCAGTGGCCCAAGATGATTTTAATTTATAACTAGGCAGCCAATATCCTGTAAAATTGAAGATGCATTACCAGCCTTGAATAAGAATCTTCCAGATGAGCCATTAAATTAGACTAATTGGAGGGGGGTGGAAGGGTGTTGGAGTTCAGCTTTAATTTATCTTAATGTAATTTAATCAGTTAGGGTCTAGTGTATGCAAAGTGCTCTGGAGTAATAACCTTACTTTCATTAAGCACTGCCAGCATGCAGGTGGAATGGATTGATTTTTGAACAGATGAATTGCCACGTAACTGTACTCAAAGTGTAGTTTTGAATTCCTGCAACCTCCAAGACTGAATAAAAAGAAAATAGGATCTTTGATCTGGTAAGAGCTGAGCAAATGCTACATTTGAATAAAAAGCTGCACTCAGGCTACATCTACACTAGGAGTTGGTGTGCTTCCCTGCTCATGTTGGACATGCACTAGTTCTCCTAGAGCTAGTGAGCTAAAAATAGTAGTGTAGCTGGGGTAGTATGGGAAGCAGCAAGAGGCAGCACCGGCAAGCTGTGGGGAGTACCAACGTGGGGGGTTCTGGTGGGTTTGTACTCAGGTTGGCTAGCCCATGCTACTGTGGCTACACTACCATATTTAGCACACTACATCAAGGAGACCTATCATGAGCATGTCTAATGAGAGCTGAGTATCGCACCCCTAGGTTCTAATGCAGTACTCTTAGTTAGACCTCTGACTCAGCAGGTAGCACATCATGTTGTTGTTGGGTAGGAGATCTCAGGATTTCACATCAGGGTCTGGGGTCTGCCTTCCTGTGGAAGGGCTCATGATGCATGTTGCATGGTTGCCCCCTTGCAACGTAGCTGCAGCAGTATTACAGACTTACTGTCACCTGCTACCCTTCACAGGTGTAGGTCCGTGTGATGGCAATGACATTTTTGCATGAAATTTGGTTCCAAAAATGTTCACTGTTCTTTCTGGCAATTTTGCTGATACCCCCTCTTCCCTCGACATTTTACCCTGTAGCAATATCTTGCAACAGTGGTATTTTTTTCTTTGAGAAACAGGCTCACATTACAGAACCCATTACACTTGAAAACAGCATCATGGCCATCGCTGACATCTTCCTTCTGGGCCTGGAGGGTGAAGGAGCAGGGTGGCTGCTGCTGCTCCTGATTCCCGTCTCACTCTCCCAGTTTCTCTCTGACCAGAAGGTGGTGCTCTTGCACACAGTGGCCTGATCACCAGTCATCACTACTGTTCTGAGGTGGATTCTCCTAATCGCACCGATCATCAAGCCACCAAAATTAGAATGGCGCTAGATCAAATATTGTGTCATTTTTGCCAGTCTGCACAAGGGTGACCAGATGTCCTGATTTTATAGGGACAGTCCTGACATTTGGGGCTTTTTTTTATATGGGCCCCTCTTACCCCATACCCCTGTCCTGATTTTTCACACTTGATATCTGGTCACCCTAATTAGGCCAAACCTACTGGCCAGCACTCAGCAGGACACGACAGCACCCACATTAAAAAAGCAGAACTTAGAAATGTGCACAGCTATTTTATCTTCTCCACCCGGCACAGCGTCTGTAGTGAACTTAGTGTGTTCCCCACCAGCATCCCCCTATTGTACCCAAAACATGCCTGGTTCTTGATGATTGCACATAGTCTCAGAAGTGGTGATTTTAATAAGCTATATAAAAGTAAAAGAAAATAAACTGGAGCAGGAGCAGCAGAGTTACAGAGCTTGTGTCCTGTTCTCTAACCACTACCCGTTCTAAGTACAAAAATGTACATTAAGACAAAGATAAGTTTCAGTTAAAATTCAGGAAATGCGATATGTAAGATTGAACTGCATTGAACATATATAAAATTTTCTATTTCTGTCTTTCCCCCTCCCATAACACACACACCCCGGCCGTTCTCCTCCCCGCATGGTGGATAAATCCGTAGGCTTAATACTGCTATGGCATAAAATGCATACCCCAAAAATATTCAGAACGTACATTGGGATCAAGGTAATTGGAAACTTAATTTCTGCACTTCCTAGCATACATGACATTAAATGTTCATCCCTAATGTAACATTAACATAGTTGCATTAGACATATATACTATTTTAGAGAGAAAAAATAGGAACAGGTAGTATATAACTTGTTCTTGTAATGTTTGTTGTTTTCCTCTTCCAGTGGGTGTAATTCACTCTCCTCATAATTAAATTGGCAAGTACATATCTATCATATGCTTTGTTAGGTAATGTAGTTTTTAAAAAAACTCTATAAAATGCTTGATTTTCATTTAAATGTTAGTCATAAAAGTAGCTGTGAATGCAGCATTCTAATACTATGGCTATCTGCTTCCAAGATGTATCAGTTTATTTTGTGGAGAAATACAAGCTTTTATTACTACCAGTATGGCACAGCCTATATAGATGCAGAAGAGCAAGTTGCCTGACTCATACATCGACTACAAAGTTGGCCAGCTAGATTCAGATTCCAGTCTTTCTTGTTGCCAATGAGCTATGGCATACAGAAAGAGCCCTGCTTTGATTTTTCAGATACCAAGCTGAGCCTGTGAGTTGGTAGCTCGAAAATTCTTATTTGTAAACTATAAATGGTACAAATTTGATATGGAAGCTCTTGCTAAATACACAAGAGCAAGCATTAAACACCACTATACCATTTTTATAGTTTTGTCTCATAGAGGCTTCTTGTGCCCCAGGGCACGGGCTATTTCCAGGAGCGGTCCAGGAACAGGAAAGTGAAAGAGTTTGGGCAGAGAAGACTAGTCCTACCTGAATCCACCAGCCATTCCCCTCAAGGGAGGAAACAGAGCAGCCATGGGGATATAGTATCATCCTATTCTGATCCTACAAAGCTCCTGGCAAAGCTCCCATTGAGTTGAATAATTAGGATCAGGGCTTTCATGAGGATGGTTTCTTTCTGCCCTCCTGGATCTCCCTTTATCAAAGCCTAGTTATTCAGGCTGTTCAACAAAGACAGGATTTCCCCTAGAGTCAGTGGAATGCCCTCAAGCAACAAAGAGAATAATTGCATTGTTGTGATTTGGGGAGACAGGTGCGTGTGCCTCATGAGGGAGGAAAGACCCCTCCAAAGGGGATAGATCTATGGCCGTCTTCATTCAATTTGCACATTTTAAATAAGATGGGTTAAATTTGTAGGAACACATGAACTTTCTTTAGTCTGAGAGCAATACAAGAGACAATATTTTAAGGTGTTATATTCATCACTGTGTGAGATTGTTCAGATCCCATCCAAGTAAAACAAATATTGATTGTGCATCACCATTGTCTCTTTGAAACCAGAGAAGCAAAAACCATGTATCGAATACACAGGAAATAAGCAAAGGTGAAATTATTAGCCCTTCAAACATGGACAAAAAAAGGTTATTTGTTGTACTAGCTGAGAGATTGAACTGAAGGTGTTTATTTCCGTGTGTGCTTAATACCTGAAAAAGGTGGCTGATTGCTTCTTAGATTCATGTGAGAAAATCTTGCAGAAAGTAAATATTGGGATGTTTTGATGCTTGCTGAGCATAAAACCTGCTTTATTGCTTTAAGATATAAATTTGTTGGAAATTGGTCAGTGCCTAGCTATGAGCTTGTTTATTTTTTTCCATCCCGTGAAGAGGATTCCGTGGCTGAAGTGTTTGTTTTGACTGTTTTCCCAGGGTGGCAATAGATTACTTGTTCTGATTTAACAATAGACTATGGCATCTCAATGCTATGATTTTGAAAAAGAAAACATCTCCCATCAAATAACATTCAAGACCTAGGGCATTTCCTGGGGATTGAACTAAGGGGAATATACTCTATTTTTACTAGAAGCTGAAAATGGGAAGCTTGAAACAACATAGGTTTCTGGGTGGGCTTGTTCATGTGGATTGATTGGGTTTGTACAGGGAATTTATATATACCAATATATTTACATATTCTGGCTGTGCTCTAGGGTGCTCTGCGGGGGGGAAGAGCAAAGGAATCCTTTCTCCAGGCTTTCCTGAACCTACAGGTCTGAGGATGGTGGTGGGCCTTCCCTCAACCTAAACCACCAGATAAGATGTAAGGAGCCTCTGAAATAGGAGGCATACTGCAGCGGTAGCACACCAGTTATTCAGCTCCTGGTGACTTACATGGTCACAGAGGAGGGAGCAGTATTAACCCATTAGTTTTTAATCTCCATATAAATATATTTGGGATCATCAGGGGCTACCCTAAGAAGCATAAGGCCGAGCTACCTTTGACTGGTTATGTAGGTCATAGCTCATGAATCAATTTAAGCAGTAACATTTTGAAGGGAGAAAACACGACAATTGCTTCTGCAAAAGTAAGTTACTAAGACCAGTTTGCTTAGGTTTTGCAAATGCAGCAGCAGCTGCTGCTGCTTTTACCTTGTTTGTATGATGCCAAAATCAGGTTCTCATCTTCCACTTCAAACACTGTGTCCACATCTATTTGCTTTTGTATCAAAATATCTTCCAGCGTTTTGTAGTCATTTGATTTTAGAGCTTCAAGAAAAGCTTTTTTCATTAACTTGGCAGTCGCAGCCCGAGTAATCCTTTCTTCCATGCTCTCTCCTTTTGTATATGTCTCACCTGGGTCTATTCTCAACTGTGTTTGTTTATATTATGCACAGAGGGGTGTGCTGAGTTCCCTATAGTGCAGTCGCATGCTGGAGAGCCTGTAAACCAGAAGGTAATTTTATCACTAAGTCATGCTGATCTGTTTGTTCTATTTAAGGAGCATTTCAGACATTGAAATGCCTATCTTGGATGTCACCATATTCTGAGTTCCGTCAAAGCAAGCACAGACAGCCGTGGCTATGAGACCAATATGAAGAAGTTTATTAATCAGACTTTTATCCGGTGTAAAAAATATTAAAATTAAATTAAAAGGTGCTTAACTCTGGTATCATTTCTCAGGGAAAGCAGTAAGCATCACGACCAGGGCTTGGGTGGTCAGCCCTAGTGGTCGGAGCAGAGTCAGAAGTCAACTCAAGGGTCAGAGCATGAGTCAAGTCAGGAGTTGAGTCAAGTATCAAGAAAGCAGGAATTAGGGACAAGTCAGGCTAGCTGGGCTCAGGAGTCAGGCAAGAAGGCAGGGTCCAAGGTAGCAGCCAGCCAGTAATCTGCCCAATTGCACAGACAACTTCCTGTGCCTCCTTCCAGCTTACAAAGCATGGTCAGATCAACAGGTGGGACTGGGCGCTCCTCCAGTCAAGATTCCGTGAGCAGTGCCTTTGCTGGGGCCAGGGTTCCATTAACCACTCAGCCCACTAGTGATTAGCAAGCCACCAGACGGCAACCAGGACATGAAAGCTGCCGACAGACCCGAGTTCAAGACCTGTGAGTCTTCATTATAAGCAAGGTTCTTGCCAGAACTCTACCTGCTTGTCTTATCGTTTGCAAGTAACGAGACCCATTACAGCACTTTCCATATTAGCCGTTTTGCTGGAGCTGGATTGAAAAAAAATTGACAACACTTTTTTTGATCAAAATGAAAACGTTTCATGTGACTATGTTGATGTCAACACAATTCCACTGGCCAGCAGCCAGGTTTCTTGCCAGGTCCCCCAGCCAGCTCCTTGGCAGCCCAGGCTCCAGGCTTTTTGGCAGCTTGCCTGGCAAGCTGATGGGGAGCCAAGAGTATGGAAGCCCTAAGAGCCCAAATTTCTAGGCTCACAGCTCCTGAGCAGCCTGGACTTTCAGGCTCCCTGGCTCCAGGGCAGCCTACCAGCTGGCTACCCGAGAGCCAGGATTCCAGTAGAGCTGGGAAGAGAATCGTTATTATATTTAACCTGGATTTCAAAATCCTCCAGGAAACAGAATTACCACTTTCTACCCAGCTCTGCTCTTGACACACCAACCTTCGTTGTCACAGAACTGCAGTACAAAAGCCTCATGGCATAGCATTGGAAAACGTTACCCACTATAGTTTCACACACACAGCCTAGAATTGTACACAGTCTGCCATGCACACAGTTGAGGGCCACAGTTTTAAAAATGGCCATTTATTTTGGGTGACTCACCCTTCGAATGCTCAATTTGAAACACTTTGGACATGGTTTTCCAGAGGTGCTGAATGCCCACTGCTTCAATTCAAGGGTCCCTGGTACCCACAAATCCAACTACATTCAATGGGAGCTGCAGGTGTTTAGCAGCAATAAAAATCAGACCCAAGATGTCTCAAGTTGGGCACCCAAGATAAGTGGCTACTTTTGAAACTGTAGGTGTAAAACCACTTGACATTTTCACACCATGGGCAAATACAGAGCAGGCCGAGGGACGTGCTCCAAAATGATTGATGGGCGCTCCAGGGCTGGGTGCGCTGGGACCACCCAGCGTGGCCCCAGCCCCAGAGCGCTGGGTGGGCGGGTGGCGTGGTCCCAGCCCTCAAGGGCCCCCAACCTCCCCCACGCGCCGGAGCACCAGATGGGCGGCTCAACGCCAAACCCCGGTGCGCCGTGGGCCCAGGACCAAGCCCAGCACCAGCCCCACCCCAATCCGGGGCCATGGCACAGGCAGGGGAAGAGCCACAAAGTGGGAAGCAGGAGGAGGCTGCCTGGGGGTGGAGCCACGCCTGGGTGTTTGGAGAGGCACAGCCGCCCCCAGCCTATGATACCCGCCACCCATGCTTATATCTTCCAAAGTTTAATGGCCTTGTTTCAAGAGGCAGGATGACTTCATGCTTTTTTTCTCTTCCTGTGGGCTTCCCATCCCTCTGTATGTAAATTGGGTTTCCAGGGTTTTGATTCCACCATCTTTAATTTATATAGTAGACAGGTAACATTCCATCTGTGACATTTCCCTCCTGTCTGGAAGAGACCTGTTTCTCTTTTGTTTGGATACAGACTGTGAAGCCTAATATCCATGAGTATCCATAATTCCTTATATAGTGTTAATGCATACATTTTACTATGATATTAATCACCAGTATAAACTTTATATACACGTTACTGTATTTAAATCAGGTGATTCAATTGCTTGCCACTTGAGGTTCAGATCCCCTTCTTTATAGTCCAGATAAAGTTTCTCTTTCCTGCTGGAAGCTGTCACCTTTCCCACTTGTTAGCTTGATACCTTTGTTTACCTTCTATGTGAATTGACCTTCATTGTCACTGCCTGATGAGTGGGCTGGTGCCGTAGACAAATTCCTTTGTCTAGGGCAGGCCTGTTTACCAACTCCCCAAGACACGCCTGCCGTAAACACATTTTAGTCGTCATGCCAATGTATATACACAGCTCTTAGTACAGACCGCATACATACATCCCACAGGAATATTAATAAGTGAGTTAATAGTTTTCCAAAAACACAGTGCATGACACCTTTTATATACAGATCATAACCCCTGTGAGTTGGAGTACACTGAATTGGTCAGGCCAGCTGAAACTCATTATCAGATACCAGTGAGCCTCTTGGCCTCTGGTACTGGGATGCTCTAGGGGTCATAATATCTCCAGAGCTGGCTCCAGGCACCAGCGTAGCAAGGACCTGCCGCCGAATTGCTGCCGTAGAATGAAGCGGGTTTTTTTTGTTTTTTTTTTTGCTGCTTGGGGCGGCAAAAACGCTAGAGCCGGCCCTGAATATCTCCATCTTTTTTAGTTCTGATTGTTCAGTTCAAGTACTGCTGCCTCTTCTGAATCTAAACCACATGCAGAATTGCTAAAGAATACATAATAAGACATACTCCAGTGAGGCAACGGACTGCTCAGATCTCTACCATTGCCACATGGGCAGAAGGATAAAACTAGTTCTTTGGTGTGGGCTCGTGGTAGTTGTTTGGGCCTAGCTTTAACTTGAGATTAGTTTCAGTGAAGGACTTTTCATACAGTCATGATGTCTTTTGTATAAATCCTTCTTTCATTCTCATTGGTGGATGGCCCTGTTACATCTGCTGCATTGCCTGGGTTCCTAACATTTGTATTAACTACTACGTTCTCAAAAGATGCTATATAATCAAAATACCAATAGGTGGCTGCAACTATAACTTCACCTTAACAAAGCTTTTGTGTTTATATGCAGTACTAGTTTTTCATCTAGTTTAAATAAATCACTGATCTAAGCTGTATACAGAGTCTTGCAACCTAGTGAGTGAGACGTTGAAAGATCTATTCTATGGGTCTGACTCTCATTAATGCTAAAACCCCTTTATATCACTCTGGCAGTGTAAAGGGTATTAAAATGGGCATAAATATCTGGAACCTTAGTGTTAATGAGAATCAGACCCTAGCTTTGAAACTGATTGTAATATATAGCAGTCTCAAAACACTGTTGACTTTGCAGGAAAAAATAGATATAATTATAAGTAAGGCTAAGGTTTTGTCAGTTATTTTTAGTAAAAGTCACGGACAGGTTACGGGCAATAAACAAAAATTCACGGAAGCCCGTGACCTGTCCGGTAGTACACCTGACCTTTTACTAAAAATAACTGATAAAATGGGAAGGGGGGGTCCAGCACCCAGTGCTGCTGTGGCTCCAGGATCCCCCCACCACGACTTGGAGCTGCGGTGGTCACCCCGCCACCCGCTATGGCTTGGAGCTGCGGGGCCAGCGGCCGGTAGATGCAGGACCACCCACAGAGACTGGGAGCTGCGGGCAGCCCTGCCACCTGCAGCAGCTGAGACCTCTGGGGCCCCTGTTGGCTGCCAGCTCCAGAGTTCCGCAGCCCCTGGGGCTGAAGCAGAAAATGCCAGGGAGGTCTCTGGAAGTCACGGATTCTGTGACTTCCATGACATAATCGTAGCCTTAATTATAAGGTTATGTTATGTGTGTGGGCCTGGTCCTACAAATTTTTAGTTGTATGAGTAATCCAACAGGATTCAATGTGATTTTACTTGTATGAGTAAAGTTTTGTTAGAAATGGCCCTATGTTTTGGATTGACAAATAATCATAATAAAACTTTATCTCCGAATGTGGAGTAGTATATCTTGGATTTTTTATTTTGGAAAAAAAAGGTGAAACTCTGAAGACCACTGGGAGGGGCAAAAAATCCTAGATCTCTATAGATCTAATTTTCTACAGACTTGTCTCAAATTGTACCACAAGGTGGCAGTTTGTTTTAGAAAGTCAAGACGGATGTCAGATGAGCCCAAATGCTACAAATATTTTGAAAATGCTGACACCAAACAATAGTCCAACATTATTATTATTTTATTATTTTATTTTATTTATTATTATTATTATGGATTGGATCCATAGCACTGCAGGTGTTACTGGTATTTTACAGATACATTGTACTCTGTAGGAAAACCAGATCTCTACCCTGAAGAGCTACAGTGTAAATTAAACATCTAATAATATATGATCACAACAGACCAAGGTGAGAGGGAACAGACAGAGAAGACAACTGCAAGTAAGGTAAAATTGAACACAGGCCTTGAAACCCAATCTGACTGCCATTGAAGTCAATAGGAGTTTGTCACTGATTTCAAAAGGAACAGGAACCGAATGTTAGACATTTTTTTTTTTTCAAATTAAGAAGATTATATTCAGCCTGATCCAAAGCCCATTGAAGTCAGTGGGAGTCTTTGTTACTTGTCTTTTTTTGACCAAGGGTGAAGGAAGGGGT